GGTGTCCATAGGACATAACATTCGGTAATAAAATTGAATATGGCTTATCATGGTACAAGAACAGATCAACTACCACGATATGTGAATACTAAACAACTACTTTGCAATGGGAGATAGCATCCCAATAGTGTCTTACTTATCCCTTATAGGAAACTATGGCTAGACTTCTTTTTATTTACTCATATAACACCCAGTTCCAAGTAAGCCTTATTTTGGAATTTTCTGACTAAAATCTTAGAGATTAAACCCTCATTTTGGAATTTTCTGACTAAAATCTTAGAGATTAAACCCTCATCACGACATGACCACTTTGGTGTCACGACGTGACCCCTGTTGAAGAGTCACACATTTCATTAGGACTCATGACATGAGCCCTTATGGGTCACAATGTGAGACCTAACTGCGAGTAAAACCTTAATTTTAGGAGATTTACTATGTACTTAAAGGAACTGATTGCTAGGGTTAGCTCACCCTCAGCCTCCATCACCTCCTATCACTCCTCCTTGAAAACATAGCATCTTATAGTTGATTTGATCTTATTTGTGGTGATTTCTAGCAAAGAAGAAGAGGAGGAAGAACATCTAGTACTCCATCTTAGCATTTAAGCCTCACCATTATCTTCACACCTTCTGGACCATTATGAGCTTCAGGTTCAATGCTTTATGAGTTAATAAGCTTAGATCTAGGTTTTTATGCCTTATCTTTCAAGTATAAGATGATATAGTGCTTGGGATCCATAAACTTGCCAACTTTATGGATCTCTAATGTCCCTTTGATGAAATAGATGTTGAATCTGAAGTATGTATGGGCTTTGAGACTCTTGTATGAGCTTCTAATGCCATTTCTTCCTTTTGTGCCCTAGTTTGTGTTTGGGACATGCATTGGACATGCATGTCTAAAAAGCATGATTTTTATGATGTTTTGGAGTAGATAAGATATTCTGTAAGTGTTGGTTGCTTGTCTAAAAGGATTGACAACTTATTGCATAAAGCTGTTCGGAACACTTATCACGACGTGATCACTTATGACTCACGACGTGAGAATGGATACACCCGACTATTATGTCTTTTTAGGTCACAACGTGACCACTAGATGGTCACGACATGACGATTGGCTAAATGACTTTAGAGTGGGGATTGTTGACTTTGATCATTGACAAAGTTTGACTTTAGGTCAATTAGAGTGATTTGAGTAGTAGATTGAGGCTTTATCCCTATTTGTTGTATATGTGACCTGTATAACTAGTATTTTGAGCAGTGTTCAGTTCAGCTATCTTTCAGACATTAAGGTGAGTTTTTCTTACTGTACTCATGGGTCGAAGACGCTAATGTCGGTCCTCTAGTTATTGTATCCTGGTATTTAGGATGATGTTATGTTGGTTATATGTTAGACTGGTAGATTTGTATGATTACCTATATTCATTGATGACATGTTAGACTGGTAGATCTGTATGATTACCTATATTCATTGGTGACATGTTAGACTAGTAGATCTTTATTATTACTTGTACTTGTTGGCTATTGTTATAGTTGTATATGTCGACTTGTTATTGTGTTGTGGGGTTGAGACGGTCCTGCTTCGTGCTGAAGGCCAAGATACCTGGGTGGTCTAGTAGATATTGCAAGCCCAGAAAATTGTCCAACTTATGTTGTAGGCTCAGGAGTGGTCTAATGGATGTTGTAGGCTTAGTGGCGGTCCAGCCTAATGTTACAGGCCTGGTTACATGCATTGTATGATGTTGTTGTGTGTGGTACATTAGAGGAACTCACAAAGCTTGGGCGTACAATTTTATGGTTTCAAATACATCAGAGGACAGGGGCAAGGCAAAAGTGTAATTGCACACATCATCCTGAATTTTTATATATAACTTATTATCTTGGGATACTCTAATTCATGATTATGATTTTGAGAAACTATGTTTTTATGTAATTTATGGATTTTGGAATGGTTTTAAAAATGATTTTTTTTTTCATGATTTTGAGATGTTACAACTCACTTGCTATGTTATATACTCATATGATGCGTCATCAATCTTTCTTTCCAATGCTCGATCACACACAGAGTGTTATGCTTAACAAAATAATCATAAAGAAACATATAATATTAAGTCATTCATATCAAAACATATAATTTAAATTTGCTTAACAAGATCATATATTGTGATACCTTTAAAGTATCATAGTTCACATATATAAACTTAAAAAAAAAAAATATCGTTAAGCAAAATCTTATTTTTTAAGTCATGTCCTCCTATAAAAACTTATTATAATTCACGTGATATGATATAAAGACGGTATTTCTCACCTCCTAAATAGTTTTCATGATAACTTTTGATATCTTTTATTATATGAGATTACGTTATTTAGAAATATAGTGTGATTAAAGTTTATGCGAAGTTCTTCTATTTATACTACAACTCTTCAAATGTTCCATACAAATTGTAAAGCTTACTTATTCTTAAAAATTGACACATAGATGTTAAGAATCAACACATATCTTTAATTTTGACACGAATAAATGTTCGTACACTATCTATGTGAATCACTAAATAGTGCAATTACTATTCCAAATATTTAGCTTTCATAACCACGTAGCTAATGACTAATCAATGAATCTTGCTATAGAATCCATATATCTCACTACACTTATCTAAATATTCCTCAGTTAATTGATGATGTGATAATGAATTAATGATTCTTAACCTCACACATATATTAGAAAGAAACATGTATCATAATAATTTACATATATAGCCCCTCAATATATATATATATATATATATATATATATATATATATATATATATATATATATATATATATATATTTTGAGGGGCTATATATGTAAATTATTATGATACATGTTTATATATATATATATATATATATATATATATATATATATATATATATATATATATATATATAATTTAAATTATACGATCTTATCATAACATATAATGTTTGATAAAAATATATTTCTTTTAGACTGTTTAATTTATTTTTCTTTTTATATTTTGATATAATTATTTTAAAAATACTTATATTTAAAATATTATATATTTCGATCCTGAAATCAACAACTCTTGAAAAACATATTTTTCGTATGTTGTCTTCAAAAATATGTTAAAAGATTTGACTTGGCGTTGCATATAAATATCCAATATTATCAAATGTATGATAGATATTATTTACGATCTACCGGATTTAATAGCCAATAACCAACGTCGTAAAATATACAAGGACGTTTGATTTTGAAACAAGTGCAACATATCCCTAATTTTTAGGATGTTACATTATCTATAATATTTATCTTATTTAAAAGAAGTGCATGAAAACAAGGAAAAAAAATTCCATTTCCCATATTATTGGTGGGTAAAAGGGTTTGTAGATGTATAGTATGTAAATAGAAACGTGCAAATGATGTAGATTCACGCTTACTCCATCAACTGATAGTAAAATCTTGTAGGTTTGGTGTAGATTATAAGAGGGTGATAAGTATAAACTTTAAGTTTCAAAGATTTATTTAATTCTTTAATAAAATTTTGGGAGAAATTTGCAAATTCTAACAGTTTTATTAATGTTGTGGGGGTAATTGCCTATATTGCCCCCGGTATAGGTCCACCCTTTGGCCAAGGCATCAAATCTCCACATCTATACTAATAAATAAAACTCATTTTCTGCCACATGTCATGTCCTCATTGATTTGGACACATGGCATTTTAATAGATTTTTTAAAATTTACTTATTTTCACATGTAATTTTCTGATTTGTTCACATATCACAACTTATTTCGATTATAATATTGAGAGAAATAAATGCTTCATTAAAAAAGAATTGATATATTTATAATGTAATAAATGTCATAATTAATGAGAGCTCTAAAATTGATATTGATATCAAATATTGATTTTAAATTTAAAGTTTAAATATTGATATTAAATTTTTATTTTTAATAAACCCGTGTAGTAAACGGATCTCATACCTAGTGAGCCAAATAAATTAAGGCTTCTTCATGTACAAATGGATGTGGGTTCTCTACAAAAAAGCTCCAAAATAGTCTTTTTGGTTGAGAAAAAAATCAATACATGCTCTATTCTTATTCCATTGATGTTATTTTGATGGTGTTCTGTTTCGTTAGTCTTAAGATGTCAGTTCATGTTCGAGATTGCTAGAGATTCAACATTTGGGTTTGTTATTGTTAGGATTAAGTACACTTAATATTGAAAAGAATACAACTTTAGTGGAATGTTGAAGACAAAAACAACGAGTAAAAGAACAAGAGTGATATTTAAGTGGTTCACTCAATCTACCGATCAAGCTACGTCCACTAAGAAAACTAGATATATTTTATGATACATAATTATGTATATTTTATAATATTTTGTGTATTAATCATGGTTATAGTCGATGAGTATTTATAGGAAGATTTCACTCGTAATCAATGCCAAAGAAGCATGAGCAACCATGATTTCCCTTGTAATCACTGGCGAGTTTAGAATAGAAAACCATATGGTTCCTTAATTAAATTCAATCATGTTAATTTAAGAGAAAAAATCAATTCGGTTCAACCAGAAAATAACTAGTTTAACATATAAAAATTAAAGTTGAAAGGACCAAGCCCAAATGTCTTTCTTTTAATTATTTTTTTAACTAAAACAAACTTTTTGAATAAATCAGTCAAAAACATGTCTGAACAAGTTCCTGGTATGGAAATATGAAAAAGAAAACATCATTTATAAAGGAAAAACGTTCATCATTTTGTTCTTGGAGTTGATGTGAGACTTTTTCATGCCACTGAATATGATATTTCTTATATGGTGTATAGTTTATGTTTTTTTCTTCATTTTTTTCATACACATTTAGGTAGGTTATACAAAATATTTAAAGTAGATTCTAAATAGATTTTATATATAACTTATTGTAAAAATAAAAAAAATTAGGTGGGTCAAGTGACCCACCTTAGCACACAATAGCCTCGCCACTCGTGGAAGTCAGAACATGCCAATAGATGCAAATAGTTATGATTACTCCAAAGATAAGTTACCATTCAACTGTCGATTCGTTATAATTACTCCAAAGATAGTTGCTACTCGTTGTGACTTCTTCAACCCTTCTTGCTTGGGAAAACAAATGGTAGTGGGGTGTTTTTGTTATGTTGAAGGGAATAAAAAACTTTGCAAGAAAACCAAGTTAACTATTTTTTTTTCTTGTTAATGGTTTTTATTGTATCTAAATGGTTTTGTTTAACATTAGCATGTGGGTTTATCACCTTGTTATGTATGTACGTATCATATTTTCATCCAAGGAATATCATGTGTAAAGCTTCCAATCATCCTACACATACATGAAATAACTCACACATATGGTTGTATATTTAGTTTTGACGTGGTTCCAAAGACAATTTCTTAGGATCGATATCATAATCGAATCGGAACTGATGTGATACATTAGGCCTGGTCGTCGGTTCTAAGTTGTGGCTTAAAAAATAACACCAATCGGTCTAACATTTCACAAATTTAGAGAGCGTTTTATTGTTTTACAATTTCAAAATGAAAATAATGTATCTATCTATAGGCCTAAAAATTTCATATTGGGCCCAACATTTCACAAATGAGATCCACTTCCCATTACAACATTTAGCAAACCCGTTTTCCTTTGAGTTTTTCGTAGTCCAAATTTGATAAAATGTTTTATAGCATTTCACAAGGCTTTCTCACCACTGCGAAATGTATTTTTATTTGTATAATATGGTTAACTAGATAAATATTTGTGTATGCTGCCATAATAAAATTATATAGTTAATAATTTATAAATATTTTCAACGATGTTATTGACATTAGTTGTGAATGACATTAGTTATGAAATAATAATACATAATATAGGTTAATATGTAAAATCGTAATTATTTTGAACCATAGATAAACATTTATTATAATTGTATTATTAAATGACCTCTACCTGCAAATTGCGTGTGATTAAAACTAAATATGGTTTTCCATTAAGTGTTAGTTTTAACATTATGGTTAATTAATTTAAAAATTATTTATTTGGCATGTTTTATTCAATCATTATAATGATTTGAAATACTAACCATTTGTAAGGTAAAATTATATAAATTATAAAGTAATATTTTTTTAACTATTATTATTGCTAATTAATTTAAAAAACACTTATTTTAAAACAATCAGTTATTATAAAAAAAACAAATTTTAATTTTTAGATATATTTTAATAGAAAATGATCGTAATAACATTTTTTTTTAAGTTTTACTACAAAATAGCCATAAAAAATAGAAAAAATGACCAAATTAGCTAAAATTTTACAATCTACCACATGCTAAAATGTGGTTGGCCTACAAAAATGGTTTTTTTTTTTTTTTTGAGATTTTTGCAGGTTAACACCTATAAAAATCTACGAAGCATGTGAAAATATTTTTATTTTATTAGATTTTTGTAGGTCACTTTTGTGATTAGGAGAACCTAAATGGTATGATGATTGTTATGAAGCAAAATGAATTCTTTTTGAGATTTTTGTAGATCATCTTTGTGATTCGAAGAACCCAAATGGTATGATGATTGTTATGAAGTTTATATGCAAAAGATATGAAGTTTATTTTTTTCATTATTTTTACTGAATAATCTATTTTGGGTCTAAAAAAGTATAACTTTCCTACATTCAAATTGAGAGTGTAATATATATTTCTGTCAAATATATACCACGGAGAACCAACCAACATGTTACCAACCGAACCAAGAAAGTTGGTTACCAATATATTTGGTAGCCAACATGTTTGGTTGGTAGTACCGTACCAATTCAGTAAACTTGGTACGGTAATGGTATTAAATTTTAAATGCCACAGTATTACCGTACCAACCAATTCATATATATATATATATATATATATATATATATATATATATATATATATATATATATATATATATATATAATCGAAATCGTATTTTTAAATGTAAAGTATTTATTGTTTACGATTTTAAAAATATGATATTATACATTAGACTTAGTCAATAGTTATTACCACATTAGATTAAAAAAACTGAAAAGTTACTTATTAAAATTTCTTAGTAACTAGAATAGTTAATTTACTAATTCATATTAGTAGACGAGAAAAGTGTCTCATATCGTGACTGGTCTTTAAGTATTACAATTGAAAATTAGATCAAAGTTGGTAATATATCATTATCAATTTGTACCAACCAAACTTGTTGGTAGCCAAACAAGTTGGTACCAAGTATAATTTGTACAGTACTGGTAGCAAAAAATTTATACCAACTATAGTTGGTATGGTACACGGTTTAAGTAAAAATCAATTGGTATCGTACCATGTTCAGTCCTAGTAATATACCCATGAAATCTGTTATAAAAACACAATAAAAAATATCAGTTCAAACAGAGTTTTTATGTGAAATTTATGAATGATCGAAAGTTGTTTTGTTTTGTTTTTATATTTTTATTAAGTAACCTAATTTGAAGCAAAAAAAAGTAAGGTTTTTCGACATTAACCCTTGTAATAAAGAACATAATGAAAAAAAAAAAAAAAAAAAAAAAAAAAAAAAAGAAGCTCAAATGTAGTTGGTTTGAAATCCGAAGTTAAAAAAAAATAGTGGATAACTATAAAAATCTACATTTTTACATATTTGTAAAAGGTCTATTTTGGACTTTTTTTTTTATTTTTTATTTTTTATCTTCTTGCATATTTTCTAAAAAAACATCTTATAGGAAATAATACTGTTATGGCCATTTTTTCTATTTTTTTTTATAATTAATTTGACATTTTAAATTTTATATTAAAACATTTAAATATTTAAAAGAAAAAAACGTAGTTTTTACTGTTTAGAACATTTTAAACTTTAAAGTTTACTTGAACAAACTCACGTACCCTGCATTTCTAGGGTTCACTTCCTCGTTCTTCCTCTTCCGGCTTCCGGATTCAAATACAAGGTATTAATCTGTAATTCCTTTTACTTTTTGCTGTTTCCGATTATCGTTACACTGTTTTAAGCCCTTTTTTCTTCAATCGTGACATTCAATCTCATTTGTATTTGTCTAATACACTCAGCGATTAAAACTATTCGAAAGTACTGGGAGTTACCATTAAACCCACCTACCCCCTCCCCTCATCGTGTTACCAGTGTGTCAGTCTTCTGCATATATTAGGCTCTTTAGATTCTTGAATTATGTATGTCAATTCAGATTATCCATGATATGCATCTTCCGAAGCTAACAAGTAACAATCCTTGTTCTATATGGTTATCCATGTTCCAGTTAAAAGGTTTTTATTAGGTTTTATTTTAGATTTTTGATTGGTTTGAATTCTTTGGGATGAATTTTAAAACTGTGGGATATTGAGATACATGGTTGTTGTTTGTTTGATTAAAATTCTCATGTTTTTATTGTATGATTTGGATGATTTGTTTGTTGATATAGCCTAATGTAGCTGTTTTGTGTTGAAGTTCTAAAAGACCAATTCCTTTTGACTCAATGCTTAATTTTTTTTTACATATAATTTGTATGTTTATCTATTCAAGTGTTAAATTTTGACTCACTACAAAAATACCGACTTAATTTTTTACAAACAACATTATTCATCTGTCTGATTCTTGATTCATGACAGATGTCACAACGAGGTGTTTGACAGCTTCAAAAGCTAACAGTGAGCTACTGTAATTGGGGTGGAAGTAGTAGGGGAATTAGGTATGATGTACACATTAGTCATTTCCCCTTAAAATATTTATAGTTTTCATCAAGTTTTTGACATATAAATTTATGCAATGTGTAGGGCATTTATGGAATCTCACTTGCAAGCATTTAAAGAAAACAACCCTCAACTAGAGGTGGTTACTGAGCTTAACCGTGGTCAACACCCATTTCTAAAGGGATCTTATAGTACGACTTTCTCTCATTTTTATAAAAAGTACACCCTGTTTACAAATATATAAAAACCAATTGACACACAATTGAATAATTAAATAGCATAAATAGGGTGTACTTCTGCATCAGATAAATCCCAATTCCTGCACGACCCACAGCTTGAGCTTACTTTTGACTTCCGCCTATGTCTCCGTTGTTTCTTCGATTTCAACACATAATAAGTCATCCCACCAAGAACCACCGCCATCGTCACCGTCCCAACCACCGTCACAAAAACCGCCGCCCATCTATGGTGTCTCCCCACCACTATATACGACGACGAAATAAACGCCACCGTCGTACAAACCGACGCCAACCACATCAACTTATTAATCACCTCAACCACCCGTCTCTCCGACTTAATCTCCCCCCTCACCACCGTAATCTGCACCACCACCACCGCCAGCGACGTAAACAAAGCAATAGCATTGAAAATAAAAAACACCTTGAAAGACGAGCTGTGTACCATCACCGCCGTCCCATCATCCGCATCGCCACCGGGGACTGTAAAAATGGCGGCGAATGCCACCGTCGCGAACAGAACCGCCACTACAGTGACGGAGTTTGTGGCGTTGTTGATTCCTTCACGGTGGAGTTTCCGAAGCTCTTTGGCTATCCCGCTCATGTTCCGGTTAGTTTTCCGGGCTTGTTCGAGCTGATTGTGGACGTTGTTTCTGATTTCTGTGACGGTTTGCCGGAGTTCATCCCGTGGCTGGTTTAAATCGTTGGCTTTAACAGCTCCGTAACGGGATAACGTTTCGATAATTTCCGAGGTTTCTTCTGAAAAATGGAGATCGCTTACGATGTCGAGAGCTGTTTTGTGATCTCGCGTTAAGGCGTTCACGTTTGTGTCACGTAGAAGTAATAGCTCATTAACTATCTGTAGTTAATCAAACCACATAAAACTAAATGATCATCTTATCCTTACATCAAATTTCGTAAGCTATGCACATAAAATGTTACGTACATAAAGACCTTATATTCATCAAATTAAAGGAAATAGAGAAGGAAAAAGGACAAATCCACGTTACATTCTAAAATATAAAAGGGACAAGTTTTTTCAAAGTTGATTAATTAGTTAATACCTCGACTCGTTTCTTTCGTGTGGCTACATGCAAAGCTGTGTTACTGAACTTATCCGGAAGCATGACAATGGTTGGATCAGCCTGAAGAAGCAATTTCACGACTTCACAACTAACTCCTTTCACAGCCATATGCAAAGCAGTTTGACCTTTCTTATCTGTTCTTCTTGCAAGATGTGGATCTTTAGCAAGCAAAGCACTCACTATCTCCACGTGTCCTTGTCGTGCAGCTAAATGTAATGCATTTTTTCCATTTGATCTCGTGACATTCACCAAGCTACAGTCTCTCGATAACAACTCATTGACTATGGATAAATGGCCTCTTACAGCTGCACTTGTAAGAGGGGTTGAATTCGAGTGGCCCACTGTTTTGCTTAGATCCGGATCGTGGTCCAAAAGGATCCGAACAATCTCTGCATATTAATTCACTTTGATACCATGTTAGATATATACTTGGATTGATATACAAATTAGGCGTTTAACCTATTATTACCTTGGTGACCCTCTCTAGAGGCAATGTGCAAAGGATCAAAACCGGATCTATTCTTCAAAGAAAGTCCTTCTTTAGTTGTGTAAGGCAAAAGCTCCTTCACGACTTCAACAAACCCTCTTTCTGCAGCTGTAAATAAAGCTGTTTCTCCAAGCTCATTCACCTCATTCACAACCGAAGCTCTGATCTCAGCCACCTCAGCATCAAACTCTGCACCTGTTGTAGTCCTCAACATTTGCTCATTAATTTCATCAAGAATCTCTTTCACTGCCATAACGTCGCCACGTTTTGCAGCTAAGTGAAGCTCAGTGTCGTTGTGTTTTCCTGTCACTTGTTTCACATACTTCTTCTTCCCACTCTGACTCGTTAATGACTTCCCTGAAAGTGATTTTCCTGAACTGGAAAACCCCCATGTGTTTGTGGAGCTAGAGTATGCTAGTGACTTGCTTGAACCAGATCCGTACATTGGAGTACCCATTTTACCAATATTTGATGATGAATATGATAACTTACCGGAATTGGATACCACTAATGCAGGTGTTCTAGGAGAAGGAGGAGGGAACGAAGGGGAAGGAGAGGGAGACCTTTGAAGAAATGGATTTGTACATGTGCCTGAATCTGAACCCATTTCTAGATCCATTTCATCTCCTTCTAAGCATCATAAAACAATATATTTCAGTAATTGAATATACAATCGACATTGATTAATTCTATAATAAGTTCCATAATATATAGCAATTAGACTTTCGATAGTTTCAATTTAATACCGATCTATATGGTCTTCAGGTGATACCAAACCAGAACTAATTCAGATCTCGAAGAATATATAATAACACGTTTATGTGAGTGCATGTGTGTTAGTGTATATGAAACGAAATTGGAGAAATCAGGATTACCTTCGAAGACGGTATTCATCTTTGGTTAAATTTTATAGGTGTGGAGGATAGTAGGTGAGATTAGGGTTTATAGGAATGAAAGAGCTACCGGAGACGGGAAGAATGCGGTGGTTTTCCGGTGATCAATGGCGCTACTGTATTTCCACATCGATTTAGTTTTGCATTTACGATCCGCTTAAGACTCCGTCATGTATTTAAAGGTTTCGCAACGAGGTTCATAAAATAGGTTATATTCAGCCCTTAGACTTTTAGATAATTACCATGTCATCCTTATCAATGAGTATGTATGCCGTGGTAATTGGTGTTGACACACGTTTGGTGAAACCAAATTAGATATCATCAAAATCTGTCATGAATTTGTTGTAAATCTGTCACAAAGTCCTAATAAAGTGTAAATCTGTCGTGAACCTTTTTAGAGACTGATTATGACGGAAATTGTTGTCAAATATAAGTTTTTTCTAATAGTAAAGCCTTATCAAATTATACTACCCCTGATATTTCTTCAGCGTCTGCCACAGTAAACAGTAGTGATATGGACTAGATCTAGTAGTTAACAACAACTTTATGAATTATTGAAAGCATGAAAAATACAAGAAAGTAAACGAACTTCAATCATACATACAATATGTGAGGAACATTGGCTTGAACGTTCACTTAAGTTTTACTTCGCTTCTTGAAATAAACAATATTTTCAGCAGCGATATTTTGCCAAAATGAATATTTTTCATAATTAGTGGTAACAAATTAACCATCATTTTAACAAAATGCCAAAATATGACCACTTGCTATGAAACTTGGCCAATTCCAGCCTACATGATTAGTTTTGAACTCCATTAGCGTGACCACCTATTTAAAGTTGTAACATTTTCATAAACCGCACTTAATTTCGTAACTCATATAAATAATTTCGAAATCTAACAAAATGTTCGGATGTTGTTTGTACTTGTTATTTTTTGATGTTTTGTTTGTATGTTGTTTGAGTTCAAGTGACCATCAAACCAATAGGAATAACACCCAAACAATGATAAATTGCAAGGTGTCTGTGTTTTGCAATTGGTGATATCGAGTACATAATTAAGAAGGGATGATGAAAGTATCATATTGTGTATTCATGATAAAAAAGCATCACTCTATTGTCCACTTCAATAGCTTTCAAGAGTCTCTTTCATATATTGTTTCAGAGTCTCCGTTCCTTTCGGTGGGCTTTCTTTCTTTTGCTTCCGTATGCTTCTATGTAAGATGCTAGCACTTATCCATCATCCATTCAAAGGAAAGCCCTCAAAATAGAGCATCAATCGATGATTGAAGATGGCTAATGAGGTCTTCACTCCTTGTATACTTTGTTGGATGTCCTAAAAAAGGGAGATGAGTTGAATGGTTGTGTCATTCTGTTCAAACATTGAGTAATTGACATCTAGTTCTTGGTTTGACACCATTTCGGATGGAATGTATTAAAGACTAATCTTTCGATATGAGTTGTTGTCGACAGATAACAGATCATTCATAGTTTTTCTTTAATATAACGAATAGATGGTAAGGAAAAAATATTGTTTTTTTATAACTTAATTTTGTTAATAAATAAATTTATAAGTTAATTTCAATCAGTAGCCTATGTGATTAATCAAACCTTCTTAGCCTTGATGACTTCTAACATGGTGTGAATGACAATTTAATTGTTGTTTGTTTTTTTGAGTGAAAATTTATAAAGTCTGCGGACCACCTCTGCAACCCTCTACAGTTGAAGTGGTGGATCAAACGGTTGCAGACTGTAATAAAAACGTGTTTATTTTTTATAATATCTACCTGCTGCTGCTGATACTTAAAAATTAAAATAAACTGATTTTATAATCTGAAAATATTTTTTTAATACATAAAATTTAATAATGTATGACATTTCGGCAAGAAAGTATGATATTTCAGCAAAAAATAATGATATTTTATCAAAAATAAAGATATTTTAGCATAAAAAAATGATATTTCATTAACAAATTATTATTATTCAATAAAAAAAAGAAAAAAAATTCAACAAGAATAAACAAAAAAAAAAAAAAAACGAAAAAAAGTATGAAATAAGATTTCAGTAATATATTATCAATATTTTAGCAATAATAATAATAAAAAGAATAGGAGGTTGGAAGAGGTAGGAAGACGCAAAACAAGTGTTGGGCCAAGAAAAAACACGTGCCGAGGTTTTTTAATCCTAAGACTTCTGAAAAACAAACACCCGGGAGATGAAAAGTATCGCGCGTGTGCTGCGCCGCGCAACAATAAGAGGTCTGAAAATATTTTTTTTTCCAAAAAACAAACAACACCTTAGAGTTGTATCATATATGTTTTAGCACATTAAAACATATATATATATATATATATATATATATATATATATATATATATATATATATATATATATATATATTTGTAAAATACTATATAATATGAAAGTGAAAACCATATTTATATAATAGGTATCAAGGTTGTCAAAACCGAGATCTTATTTAAAATCGTTTTACGTTTTACAAGATTATGATTGTAAGATCCTACCAAAATGAACTCATATTCAAATTTGTTCGCAAGATAGTGCAATTAAGCTTACTTCTGAAGCATCACTCATAATTTTTGTTGTTACAAACCATAAACATTAAGAAATAATCATCTTAATTAGAAATAATATCATTTTGATCGTGTACAAGTAAAACATAAGATCACAAATGAATTATTATAATCGTGTTATGCCTAACTCGAAGTGAACTAATAAAATGATGATGTTCTAGAAGACTTTTTGTAACTTGTGACACTCGATTTCAAGTTGAGTAAATGAACTTTTGATAATCAGTTATATAATAAAATTAAAGAGGTGAGATCGGGATTGTAGTTTGATTGAAATTGTTTTTCATTTGAAAAATCTTAAAATCGTAAGATCATGAGATCAAAATCGAGATTTTAAACAACCTTGATAGGTTTTGGTGATTTTGTATCATCAGTGTGTATTTGAGTGTAATAGATTGACTTGTAAATCAAAATCAATTTTGATGAACATTAAACAAGCAAGAAAAATGCCAAGTGTATAGTTGTTTAAGTTTATTTGAGATTCAAAGTAGACTGTCATTTAGGGGCGAAGCACCTGAATGAATGGGAGTTCGAGTGCAGCATCCCTGGGAGCGGGGTACAAGGGTAGAGCTGGCTGGGGTCGAGTTGTTTTGACCTGGTTTTTGAAATTTGTATTTTTGGAAATAAATCTGGTTTTTGACTTTGTTTTAACCCTTATAGAAAGAAATTGAATTAGTGATAGTTTTCAAATATCAAACTGTTTTAATGATAGTTTTTCAAACATAAAGCTATCTTATAATAGTTTTCTGATGGAAAAGGTACTTAACTACTTTGGTCTTCATTTTGATGGTACATTGGAAATCATAACAATCTATGTGCTTTATGTATCCTAAATTTCTAACTAGAGATGACCAAAAAAAACTCGTACCCTATGGGTACCCGAAAACCTAACCCGAGTTGACCGGGTAAATCCCCGAGTTAGCCTGGAACGAGGATGGGAATGGGTATTACCCGAATACAAAAAGCGAGGATGGGGATGAGGATGGTTCTACCTTTCGGGTACCCATACCTGGCCCCGATGAGTATCCGATATATATATATATATATATATATATATATATATATATATATATATATATATATATATATATATATATATATATATATATATATATATGAGAAAACTTCAAAAATGGTCCCTGTGATTTTTGAAAATATCAAGTTTAGTCCCTAAGTTCAAAAAACCTCACAGATCGTCCTTGTGGTTTCAAAACTTTTAACATTTGGTCATTCCAGCTAACTCCGTTACCATTTAACCGTTAAGTCAGGAGTATTTTTGCCATTTCACTATATAGGGTCCATTTATGAGGTTTTCAATTACTTTTTTTAAATAAATAAATAAATAATATTTAATATGCAATGGGTCCCACCCTCTCTCTCTCTTACTCTATCTCTCTCTCTCTCTCTCTCTCTCTCTCTCAAGAAATGCATAACTTCCCCTCAATCCCACGCCCACCACCACCAGTTACCTATAATCACCACCAGTTACCGATAACCACCACCAGTCACCGACATCCACCACCCATTTATTCAGGCACCACTATTATCTACCTATTCTGGAACCATCACAACCCACATTATCGATTCAGCAAGTGTCACCCCAAGATCAAATCCCAAAAATCAAATTTGAACCTAGAAATTAAGACCAAAACAAGATCAAATCCTGAAATCAAAACCTAACCAAACTAAAACCGTGAATCAAAACCTAAGCTGAAATCAAAACCAAATTTGGAAATCAAAACCCAAACTGCAAATGAAAGCAGACATGAACACCATTGTTCCTCTCTTTCTGGACGATGTCGATGAAGAACATCAAAATCCTACCCCAGATCAAGCAACATTGGACACCCAAATCAAGTAACATTGAAATCCGACCAACATCTAAGTATCTAGTCTCGTTTTCTTTCGTCTTCAATATATTTTACTTCCTCTCTTCTCTTGATAGCTCCGATGAAGAACACCAAAATACGCCCCTAAAACTAACATGAATCAAAAATAAGACTTACGATTGCAATCAAAACCAAAATCCGTAATTTCACACATCGATTAATCAAGTAAAGTGAATCAGCTGTCAAACCCGAAAGTAATACATTCGAGACTGTAATCAAAATCAAACTTCATCCTATTTCTGTTTCACGAGGATTTTAATACAGGTGGTGGTCGGAGATGTAGAGGTGAGGCAATGATGGTTTTGAATAAAGAGGGGAGCCACTGATGATGGGATTTGTAAGAGAGTGTTGCGAAAGAAGAAGTGTGATGAGAGAGGCGGTGATCGGAGATGGAAAGGTTGTGGCGATGATTCTCTTAGAGAGAGATGACGCCAAAGTATTATGAAGTCAAGTGAGATATGGAGAGGGAAGAAGGGTACTTGAAGCCTGCCGCCTGAGCCCTGAGTGAGAAGTTTAGCGAGAAGGTCACCGGTAGTAAACTTAGGTTGCCGGTGGTGAGTTATTGCACTTTTTATGTGGAGAGAGAGAGAGAGAGAGAAAGAGACCCATTGCATATTAAATATTATTTATTTATTTATTTAAAAAAAAGTAATTGAAAACCTCATAAATGGTCCTTGTATAGTTAAATGACAAAAATACCCCTGACTTAACGGTTAAATGGTAACGGAGTTAGCTGGAAGGACCAAATATTAAAAGTTTTGAAACCACATGGACGATCTGTGAGGTTTTTTGAACTTAGGGACTAAACATGATGTTTTCGAAAACCACAGGGACCATTTTTGAAGTTTTGTGTGTGTGTATATATATATATATATATATATATATATATATATATATATATATATATATATATATATATATATATATATATATAATCTGATGGCCAAAATATAGTCATACGTTCAAACAATAATTATGATTCATGTTTGATCCTAACCCCATATATATATATATATATATATATATATATATATATATATATATATATATATATATATATATATATATATATATATATATATATATATATATGGTTAGGATCAAATGTGAATCATAATTATTATTTGAATGTATGATTAAATTTTGGCCATCAGATTATATTGTGATTTTAGGGGTATATTACTATATCATTACACATAATTAATTGTAAGAGTAAATTAGTCTAATTGGTTAACAAGAATGTATGGAAGGTAAGGATATTAATGAATTCAATTTAAATTAGATTTAAAAAAATAGAGTTATTTTTTTATATTTTAATTTAGTTACAATATCTTTTAATTTTATTAGTAAAATCTAGAGTTTTTATTATTTTTTTTATTTATTATTTTATTAAAGAAGTTGATTATTTTTTGTAGTATTCTTTAAAAATATAGTATAATAAATTTTGCATACTAGAAATTATTTATGTATTGAATTCTTTAAGAATAGAAGAATATAGTCTAAACTATTCTTGAAGAATAAGCACTATTCATGGTTAAAAATAATTATTTTTAATTTAAAGCTTGTTCCATATCATGAGAATCGTTACGAATCGATTAATTTAGTTAGAACTTCTTGACTAATTTAGTTAGAACTTCTTGACGATGAGAATAGTTGATATTGACATTCTCATAAGAATAGAATTAATTATACAAGAATTATAGTTAATTCTTTAAGAATATATTACATAAGATATGAATTTCAAGTTCATAAATGACATTCTTAATAACAAGACATGATCAAAATGCATAACTTACATCTTTTAAAAATAATATAACATTCTTGGAAAAAAAATTAAAAAAAAAACATTTTTAATAAATAGTTCATAAAAAATAAAAAGGAAAACAATTACAAATATATGAAATATTCTTATAGTAAACATGCTTTATTTGTAACTTCATTCGATAATTAGTTTCCATTCTGCATTCCATCTTCAAGAATCGCTTTCAAAATATCTTTATTGAACTTTTATATCTACAATAAGATTCTCTAAGAATGAGATAACAATTAAATATGAGAAACAAAAATCCATAAATCAATAATTATTGTAAACAATATTCCTAAATTGTTACAAACAACTAAAATCCAAGAGAAAC